CGGAGCCGAGGGCCAGATGGATGACACCCTTCTCGGGACCGATCCATCTCAGCTGGCTGTCGTTGACGAGGTATCTCCAGGTCTGGCCCCAATTTGAGACTAGGTCTGACAGCTTCTTGCCCTTGATTCTCTCAACCAGGTAGTCGATGGCCTTGCAGACGATATCGTTTCCTCGTCCGATTGTGAAGGTCTAGCAAGGGAGAAAGAGGGGTGAGCGACTTTACGAGACTGAGGTGGATTTGGTATTAGGGCAGGGGGGGAAACATACCATGCCGTGGCCAGAGTACTTGGAGTCGGTCTCGAGAATGCAGTAGGCGGCAGAGTAGTCACCAGCAGCGTTCATAGCGTCGGAACCGGTCTTGTCCAGGGAAGTAGGGAAGCGCACATCGCGCGTCTGCCACCCGGTGATGGTAATATCGAGACTCATGATGGGCAACTGTCTCAGAACGGGAACAATAAACAACGAGAGAGAAACACGGGCTGTGATTCTTGGAGAAAGGACAGTAGACAGCAAGAAGATTGGAGGAGGGAGGAGGGAAGAATAGAGGGAATTATTACACTACACAGTAACGGGCAGAGAGATTTGAGACCTTTATAGCCTCCGACGATGCGTTTCTTCTCCCACCTTCCCCTCCCCGCCTTTGCCAATGGCTAGACCACTCACGGGCCACAACCCTCTACTTTTTTCCACCTCGCTCACTTTTTTGCCTTACCCCGAGTCTGGAGTTTGGGCCGGAGGCGGAGGAGGGGACAGTTAGTTGCTCGTAGCAGCAGCATGAGGGGGAGACGGAAGAATGGAGGGGTAGGGGGAAGGAGGGGGAGGGGCCTTCAGTGGAGGGCTTGGAGGGGCATGCGCCGGAGAGGGTCCCTTTCGGTGGGGCTTGGCAGTAGAAAACAACCCGGCCCAGAGACGGCGTGCCAGCGCGGGGGGTTCGCCAGGCCGAGCCGGCTTCGGACCCATCCCCTTTACGGCCTCTGATTGATGGAAGAATTCCTCCGCCTGGATAATTTAGCGTGCCTCGTGCTCGGTATACGCTCCGCCAGACCCCCAGGCCTCCCAATTCTGGCATCTAGCCTTCTACTGCAGATGTTGACGATGTTCGTGGGTGTTGGGTGGGGGTAGCGAATGAGAATGGAAGAATCCGATCAGACAGGTTCTCTACGAAGTAGTTCCCTGTCATTCGGGGTTTATGTGGCTGGAGAATTTGATGTTGCGTCCTTAGCCGTGATGAATTTCATCTAACGCACGCACGTAGGTAATTCTCCGTAAAGTATATGCAGAACGGCTCTAGACGGCATCTCACCGCCAAGGGTTCATTCTCTCTGCGTTTGCGCCCATCGAGCTGACTTGGCGGCATTGGCGAATAAAGTGCCAGACAATCGGACTTCTCGCACTTTGGACTGTACCCATATTTGTTCTCTCAACAGGTTGTCCCTTCGAGACGTCTGTTCGGTAAGGTTGTGGTGGTGAGATGTATAGTTGAAAGGGCGCCAGTTCAGTGTGTCCTTTAGCTAGACCCGCGTCCTTTCAGATACCCGAATACTCGAATACTCGAATACTCGAATACTCTCATGAACCTCGTGATATTCTTACACTTCTTCCGTTTCCATCTTGCAAATCCAGCCGTAGGATTTACTTCATACGTGGCTGGCTTCGGCAAAACGCTGATAGAATCGTTCAGTCATTACTGGCTATAGCTCTCCCATCGGGATCTCCTCGACCCGGTCTTCAAGCTTGACGTAGGAGAACGCAGTTGTGTGTATTGTTCTCTGACACCGGATCAAATTCTTGATGTTGAGTTTAAGGTCAACAACGACCATGCGAAAGACAAGGCATGGAGTTTGCATATCCCGCCAAAGATGGTGCACGATGCAATGTGGGACTTGGCAGGGGACCCAAGGGCGGCATACCGTATCATCTAAGGCGATTGCTGCCAAGAGAGGATCCTACATCTGCATGGCACTGTCTCGCTCTCTAGTGCTTGGGTGAGATGTTCTTGATGAATGCCCTGGCTGACGGTAGGTGTGAGACGCCTACGAGCTGATTCGAGAAGCTCGACGACCTCTCCGAGACCACCGGACCGCGCCACTTGCTCGGCCGAGACTTCAAAGTACCGACGGTTTCCACGCTGGAAGAGGTATTGCGTCTGACTACTTGTATCAACCTCAAAAGACGCTAAGTAGTCCTCTAGTATAGTGTCAGAGCCTGCGTACATCGGCACACTCCATCGATTACCCCAAGCGGGCCACGGTTTCTCCGCCTCCCGCAGATGAGCCGGATCCACGACAACGTAGAGAGCACGGAGAGTACGGGAGCCCCACAAGGTTAGTAGACCGTTCAAAGCCTCGGAATTGTAGAATGAACTTCGGCCGTCAGACGGGCCGACTTGGTGAGGCCCAGGCCAGGCGAGAGCCAGACAGCGCAGCGGTGTTGGCACATGAAGACGAAAAACGCCGGCAGTACTGATCAGACGGCAGGGCCACTGCCATCCAGTATTGAGAATGATGAGATCCCGCATGGCGTCAACTTCCATGTGGTATGCGCCCAGGGAATCGCCACCTCGAAGTATGAGGGTGTAGGAGGATGAATCACCGCCTCGAAGAAGAAATGGGTGAGACGGTTTGATGAATTTGAGGGCGCGTGTTGCTACACGATAGGATCGATGGCAGGCGAAAAGCATGCCAAAGAGAGTGGACATGACGCAGTCGCGATCCGAGAGATGAGGGGGACCAGAGGTGCGAAGTCTGTAGAGAAGAACTCTATCTTTGACATTGTAGCGGTCGATGGAGCCATCCTCGGTGCGGCCCATAGGATGGCGGGCCAGTTGAACATGGAAAGCGGTCGGGGCGGGCGGGGGAAGGGCAGCCTCCCAAACCTTGTCTTGCAGCTCCAGAGGTAGATTGGGGAAAAGAGCAAAGTCATTCATGGCTTATGATGATGATAATAAGGTGAAATAAGGTATTGTAGGGTCGTGTAGGTGGTGTAGCCGATGCCGATGCCAATGCCCATTGACTTTAAGATGAAGGTTGATGGATGAGATAGCGAAGACGGATGATTGTCGTCCAATGCCGGAGCGCAGTCCGGGATGCTTGGACAATGCTGGAGGGGTTCGGGAGGCGAGTTTTCGGGATGGCTGTCGATCTTGGACTGCTGAAGAGATTTGTTGGTTGAGAAGGCGAATGAATTGCAGCTGAAGATGGGGAGGGGGGGAACAACCGAACAACAGACGGAGGCGGTAGGGCAAATGTTGGTGGCTCGAGGACGATTCAACGCAGACAAGAGAACGCGGGGAAAATTGCAATCGTTGATTGGCTCATTGTGGCCACGGCGTTGGGATGTGTAGCCTCGAGGTGGAGGAGGCAAGCCGCGAAGGGACAGAGTGGCGGACGTAAGATCAGGGTTGAAGGTGGCACGGGTGGGAGGATGTGGGAACTGGGAATATGTCACTACTGCGAACACCAAAGTGGTGAGGCTTTTCGATGACATGGGCCAATCCACCACACGGCTACGGGCAAGACGGGAGCCTTCCGACATTCCGCCTGCCCTTTGGTCTTTGCCTGACCCGAGCGCCTGATTGTCGATAGTAGGTACGTACATGGGGTTCCTACGTATTCATCAGTACGTACACTATTATGTAAAGTAGAGATGCAGTTGCAATTTCTTACCATCAGCAACTTGCAAAGAAATGTCACCACAAGACCATCAAGAGAGGACTTCGACTGAGAATCACTATAAAGAAAACATCCCATCACTACGATAGGCTACTCGCAAGATCTCACCACTGCTCCTCCGATGCCACCCGTCTAATCTCTGACCCCAACTCCGAACTCACTCCCGCTCACCGCGAACCATCCAACATGCCGTCCATCCATTGCAATGGCAGCCATTCTCACAGTCACACAGCCCACCGTTGAGCGAATGCGAGTTGAGATGTGACCCCTGCCAGCGATCGGGACAGCCCACCAACCCCCCAGGCCACATCCCTGACCGGTCAGAGCCTCGACCACCTTTTCCCTCGAGTTTCTTGGGGCACATGTTGCAAAGGTGGGATACGATGACGTGGGCTCAGCAAGGATGCCCTCGACGTTCCATCCTCTCCATCCATGTTTTTTCTCAACTAACTGACAGTGACTGACTGACTTGCAGTGACTGCTCATGGCACGCCGCAAACACCGTGACACCAACAGACAGAGCGGGATTTTGAACGCTTCGCCTCGAGTCTCGACCTTCGGGTGGTTCTTCTCCATATCCACTCTCCACTGCCACTACTGCGTACGTAGTAAGGTAGAAGAAGCAAACAGGAACGCATGGCTACCTTGTCCAGGCCCAGCCAACTGCGATGTGTTGTCCCAACCTCACATCATTCTGAGCTTAGCTTACCCTGCCTTGCCTCGCAGACGCAGCAGAGTTGAGGCATCTCATTCTTACCCTACACTACCTTTCCTTGCATTCCCTTGCACACCTTGCACACACCATCCCGGTATGCCCTCCTCTGTGACCTCTTTAACCTTTTTGCTCTCCCACTGCCTGCTTCATGCCTGGTGGCCGCTCGTCCAGTGGGAATCCGGTTTTGAGCTCTGCCTCGTCGAGTTCTCAAAGCCTCCATCATCGTACATGCATATCCCGACCTCCATGCGCGTGGATACCTGCGCTGACTCTGCCTTTTGCCCTCCTCCATGCTATAACAATCCCTCCCTCTTGCTATCCCCTCACACCCACAAACCAACAGATGCATGGAACAGCCCATTTTCTCACGCTCAATTTTGAATCCCCGAGACGTCATTTGCCGCTCACAGAGAGTCATGAATTCAGCAGACTGCGAACTTCAACCAACCCATATATGACTTGGTACAAACCCTAGATAACTCTCCTACCACAACCATTGGTATTGCTATACTACCAGACCAAAAAACGGCTTAATACCGCTTCTCATCGCAGTATTCTCTCATCCAGCGTAGCCTCATCACTTTCCCACCATAGCTACTCCAACCAGAACAGCATGGATCGCCGTCCTCATGCACAGTCACTGGCACCGCCAGCCCCAATATCAAACAACCCGCCGGAACCTCCACAACGCTTACGGCGCAGATTGCAAAAGAAGCTCCTGTCCATCCGACGTCCTGCACCTATCGACCCCGTGGCATCAAACAAACTCAATACCGGGGTGGCAGTAGCTGCCCAGCAAGCCGGAACCATCGGCCAACCTTCCTTGCGTTTGTCACCAGACCTGAGCGATGCAAAATGGCACGCATATCTCGGAGACAGCAACGCTGTGCAAGATCCGACATCAAAATCGCAATCAAAATCACCGTCCAAATCACGGTCAAAATCAAAGCCCCTACCAGCGAGACCAAGAACCCCAGAGAAACCACGAAAAGTCTCATTCGACACAACACCACCAGCGCCGGCCATCATTCCAGAATTCTCACACCTCGCCGTCAGCAATTTAACGCCGAGGCCCTCTCTCGACAGCTCACTCAGCTCACCGACCTCGTCAATTAGCACGAGATCGAGCATGAGACGCCATGCAAAGACGCCCATCTACGCCATTGGCCAGCTGGAAAAGGCAAGCTATGGGAGGAGTGCCAAAACCGCCGAAAAAGTCACAAGCGTCGACCTGATTGCGAACCAGTACCGAGATCTCCTCGAGACCCAGGACGCCAGCTCAATATACACTGACGCCCACTCTGATCCCTTCCCATCACGACAATCTTTGCACAGCCAGATTTCCTCCTCCACTACCCGGTCACGCCACAGCGCCGGCGAGACACCCGCAGAGCAGCTCCGCCGAGACATATTTTCGCCGGCACCGGCGCCGTTGCGCCGTGCATCGGCGGCGTATTCCAGGTCACCGCGGTCTGATGATGGTACGCTGGTTGCATTCGATGAGGAAGCGATCTACTTCAAGCCCCTGTCATTCTCACCAGAACCGCCGTCGACACCCCCGCCCCCGCCGCGGAATCGCGCCCGACTGAATCGCAATCCGTCCTCCCAAGGGGAGTCGAATCAGAACCTGAGCCTGCAGATTGCAATGGACCTCTTGACGCGTGAGCTCTCGACGAGCATGTTGGACAACTCGCACAAGACGGGGACAGACGTCTCGTCTCTGCAGGTCTGGGTCATGATCGAAGCCTACGAGAGGCTGAGGGACCAGGTTCTAGAAGCGAGGAGGCAGACAAATGACGCGCAGAACCTGGAAACGGTGTTTGATACCTGGTTGAAGGCTCTCTATAACCTTCATGACCAGATGACGAGTGATGCGGCTTCTCGCGGGAGCAACTACGATGAAGCATAATCGGGGCCAGGAAACAAGGACGGATGACGGATGATCTACTGTTAGTTAACTTGGGTACGGAAACACCCGCAAGGTTAGGGCAACGGCGTTGGAGTTGAAATAGGTTCGGACACGGCATGTCTGAGTAAGAGTACCTTAAACCAGGTAAAAAGAACAACAGTCTCAAATTCAATACCAATTAAAATCTGAAAATGAGAAGAACTTAAAGATGTGAGGCATGTGAAATACTATTGCTTCATGGTTTCAATGAGTAGTCTGCGGAGTAAAAGCGAGGGAATGGCATGAATGACCCCACCAGTTTGACAGTTTTGCTGAGGTGCCGAATTCGATGGCATCATCAATTGCCGTTTGGGGCGTGTGGCCCGCTGTAGTCACCACTGCGTTGGTTACCAGACCCCGCCAAAGGTGAGCTACGTTCTACTACGTATTACAGATCCATACCTTAGCTTCCGCAGACGCGACTCTCACCGCGTGCACTTTCTTTGCCTCGTTCAACATCACCAGCCGTATTGTCATCCTCCTGCTCTCCACGCCGTGCACCGTGGCACAGATAGAGACCGGTTTCCGATTTCTCAACATACAAGCAATTGGGCAAATACGTAGAATCACCAATCATGGACGACGATTTCGGTGCCGACGAAGACTTCCTGGCCGCTCTCGCATCTTCGAACCCGGCACCTTCACGCCCCGAGGCTCAACCATCTCGTCCCCGTGTGCAGCAACCGACACCGCAGAAGATACAGCAGCCGACACCGCAGCGCTTGGATAGACCACCGCCCGCAAATGCTTCTGCGAGCGGCAAGATTGTCCAACCAACGCCCCAAGCCCTTCCCCAGCGAGGATCCGGCTCGGCCATTCTTGTGTCTCCACGGCAGAGGGGCAACCCGGTGCTCGCATCTCTCAAGTCGATGCCATGGGAGTACAGCGATATTCTGGGTGACTACGGTCTTGGTTTGACGACATGTGCATTATTTTTGAGGTAGGTTCACTACTCAACCAATTCCCTCAAGCTACCTACCTTCCTACCTCAATGGCAGGCATGCTAACCCGTATCTGCATTCAGTCTGAAGTACCACCGCCTCCATCCCGAGTATATCCATACGAGAATCAGGAATCTTCAAGGGAAATACAACCTACGTCTCGTACTGACTATGGTTGATATTCCAAACCACGAGGAGGTCTTGCGCGAGTTGTCCAAGACCTCATTAGTCAACAACGTCACCCTCATTCTTTGCTGGTCAGCCGCCGAGGCCGCGCGATACCTCGAGCTGTACAAGTCGTACGAGCACGCCAATTTCAACGCCATCCGCGGCCAACAAGCGTCGACGTATGCGGAGAAGCTCGTCGAGTTCGTCACCGTTCCCAGGAGCGTCAACAAGTCGGATGCCGTTGCCCTGGTCAGTAACTTTGGTAGCTTGAAGAACGCCATCAATGCGAATCCCGAGGAGATTGGCTCGCTAGCTGGCTGGGGCGCTGTCAAGGTCAACAAATGGGTCAAGGCTGTCGAGGAGCCTTTCCGAGCACAAAAATCTGGCAAGCGACAGCTGGATCAATCGGACTGCACCGAGGACGGGAGGCCGTCGCAAGCATCGAGGTTGGATCAAGCTGTGCCTCTCAGCAGGGTCCCGCTTCGTGAGATGTCTACGAGAGACTCATCGAGAGTCTCACCTGCAGTGGGCACGCCAACGACAACCCAGCCCAAGAGGCCTGCCGCCTTGGAGAGAGGCAATCCGGATCTCGACGAGGACGATGAAGAGGCGATGATCGCCGCCGCTATTGAGGAATCAAGGCGGACTGCTGAGGTGCAAGCACAAGCACAAGCACAGACGCCGGTGCAGGCGCAGACGCAGACGAAACAAATTGACAGCGCAGGTGCGAAAGACGATGCACTTACAGACGGGGTCGCGGCCGCACTCGCAAAGTTGCGGAAGCAGGGCTGAATACCTGTATTCTCTAGGCTATCTCGCTTTTTCGTACAGCCCCAGAAACACGACACAGCCTTGGAGATTGTGGGCTAAAGTCTAATCGACGTTTCGAAAGGACGGCACACCTTACAAGAGACGGATTCGCGTGTATGGCATTTTGCCTTGGTGTTCCGCGAGGCACCTTTCGCATAAGAAAGAGGAAACTCCATGACTCGCTGGGATTCGAAGAAGAGCATAAATGCGGCTTCGAGAGGAAGAACGAATCAAACGACGAAGTAAACTTTGCGTACTTCTGAAGCGACCCTTGCTTCGTCGGTGGGCCAATCACGACGATGCCGACTGGGAAACAGGATGCATTCATCAGACGATTCGCCCGGTAGGAAAACGAAGTCCGTCTGTAGAAGCATGCCATCCAAGTCAGATCTACCTAGAATTTCCAACGCTGCCTTCGGCGTATCAACAGAGCAGGTGGGGGACTGTATGCTGTGCTCAATAGAGGTCGTGTTCGCGGGTTCGCGCAGTGCGGGGGCGGCCTCGACACGGATTTGCAGGTACCGAACTCAAAGTCAAGAGTTGGAGATGAAGATCGTCACGCACGCATCTGTTATTTCTCCAATGTCACCCTTCTGACCAAGTCAAGTGGTTGACATGGGACGAGCTGGCGGACCTTAGTTCTGACGCCGCGCCATTTCTCCCTATCACGATTGACATTTGATCTTTGGTTTGTGTAACTCTTGGGCAACTTGCCAAAGGACTAAAACTATTGATGCGCTACTCCTTGCTCTTACATGAAAATCAAATAGGCACTGCATCGACGCCGAGCATGCAGAGCCTCCGAGATCCAATGATCAGTAGCCCCGATCATCCCCGGCTAGATTAAGCCGGGTATAGCGGCCGTCGGCACAACCAAGCAGTCTTCTGATCCGCCCGCGCCAAAGCCAAAGGCCGCAGTCGGTCGATATCTGGAGGCCATGCAAATTGACTCTCGGTTGAAGCCCATCTCCAAAGTCCCGAGGGGACACTGCCTCATACGGAAGGTCAACAAGTTTACAACTTACAACACCTTGTGGTCGGGGCATTGTACGAGGGCCCAGAATATCCCCTCATTTCTATCCCTCGGAGGCTCGGGTATTGCAACTCGCCAACATTTGTTTCCTTGACTTCATCTGCCCGTATGCAACTGCAACTGCAACGCAACGCTGCATTTAACTTTGGGCAGCACTCACTGGGCAAGGGGCCTTTCCCAAGTTTCCCCCCAACAGCTGCTCCGCACGTGCTTGATTCACCAGGGACGTCCGTGCCTGGTGACTTTGCCATTTCGAGATGAGCAGCGACGAACCTGGGCAAGATCTTCTCTGCGCGTGTTTGATGCCAGTCATTACGGCCACCAGCGGACTCGGCCCGCGTGGACGGCTCATCACTCGCCCTACCAATGGTGTAACCCCCGTTCGAATAAGAACAGTTCGTCTGACTCCTGGGCGTTAGATGCACTCATAGTCTCATTCTACTGGGGTGGTGGTGGGACTTTGGGGAGGTGGAGGGTGGTATCGAAAGGAACAATAATCAGGAGGGCGAAGATGAGCCGGAGATGGGAAGGGAAAGACACCGGATCGCGAGGACCACTTACCATGTCGAATGGACACAACAAACCCAACGTTACAGACGCAGAAAGCCGACAGAAGCAGGAGAAGAAGCAGGGGCAGCTGGTGTGTGGAAAAAAAGATCCCGACGATGAGACATGGAGCAGGGGCGAACGCAAAGTCCGGGGGACTATGGATGAGAAACAGAGTTTATTCATCTCATGCTGTGCCTGCGTGAAAGTGTTCCCAGTCTCCAGGTCCTCCCTCCCGAAGTTTCCCAGAGTTTGCCGATTCCTGGGGGTTGCGTGATTCCAACACACCCCCAACTGACCCATTGTCATTTTATTAGCCTTTGCGCGCCCCAATAATGCAGTCGACGATAGATATATATATTTGACCACGGCCTCTCTCCTTCCCTCACTATCGTTCGTCGTTCGTCCGGACCCTGCTCCGTCTGTAGTCTCAGTCTCTCTCTGCTTCCCAGGACCGACATCTAATAGCTTGGAGGCTTCTCGTCGCGAACACGATGCACCTGTCAATGCGCGGACTGGCCGTCGCCGGGCTCCTCGCCCAGGCGTCAGCCTCCCCTCAAACTCTTCTACAGGCCGCCGCGCCGCAGTATATCAACCAGCCCGAGAGGGCGGCAGCCGTCAAGGAAGCCTTCCAGCGCTCGTGGGACGGGTACCGCAAGTTCGCCTTCCCCAATGACACGCTCAAGCCGGTGTCGAACACGGCTGAGAATGACCGGTACGTTTTTAGTCGTTTGCTCCACAAGAAAAAGAGCGCAAAGAACCCCGTTTCCTGACGATTTTTGCTGTAGGAATGGTTGGGGTGCGAGTGCTGTGGACGCCTTGAGTACTGCCATCCTTATGGAGAACAAGGACGTTGTGGGACAGATTCTAGACTTTATACCGACCATCAACTTCAACGTGACGGATAGCGAGGTCTCTCTGTTTGAGACGACTATCCGATATCTTGGCGGCATGTTGGCAGGTGAGACAGGCTTCCCAAAGTAAAAAGGTGGTGTTTCTCTCGTAAAGCTAATACAACTGAATAGGACATGACTTGCTGAAAGGACCACTCAAAGATGTCGCCAGTAATCAGACCGGCGTAGACAATCTTCTCGCGCAGTCGAAGAAACTTGCAGACAATCTCAAAGTCGCGTTCGATACAGCAACCGGCATCCCCGATAACACGCTCATCTACGATCCCAAGCCGCGCAAGAAGGGCTCCGACACGAACGGCATTGCAACCATTGGGACCTTGGTGCTGGAGTGGACTCGCCTGAGCGACCTAACGGGGGACAAGCAATACGCGGATCTGTCACAGAAGGGCGAGAATTTCCTCCTAAAGCCCAACGAGGAGGTGTTCCCCGGCCTGTTAGGTACGGACGTCTTCATCTCGAACGGGACATTTGCGGATCGGTCCGGTGGCTGGAACGGAGGCACCGACAGTTTCTACGAATACCTCATCAAGATGTGGGTGTACGACCAGA